CTATAGGGCATGCGCCACTTTCAGCACTGATTGATCCTGCAGCAGGAAGCAGAAATGCAATTGCAGAATCACTTTCGAATATTGTTTGGGCTCCTTTAAAAGATGGTCTGGAAAGTATTTCACTATCAGCCAACTGGATGTGGGCTTGTAAAAACGAAGGAGAAGATGCACGCTTGTATCAAGCTGTAAAAGCATGTTCAGAGTTTGCCATCAGCCTGGGAATTAATATTCCTACTGGTAAAGACTCTTTATCGATGAAACAGAAATATAAAGATGGAGAAGTTATCGCACCAGGGACAGTAATTATTTCTGCTGCCGGGCATTGCGATGACATTACCGCAGTTGTAGAACCTGTTTTACGTAAAAGTGGTGGTGCTATCTATTATATCAATCTTTCAGGAGACCGTTATAAATTAGGTGGTTCATCATTTGCACAAATCTTAAACAAAGTTGGTACAGAAACACCTGATATTTTAGATGCAGGACAGTTTAAAACTACTTTTAATACACTGCAAGAATTAATTAAAGCTGGAAAAGTACAGGCAGGACACGATATAGGCAGCGGTGGTTTAATTACTACGCTTTTAGAGTTATGTTTTGCAGACCGTAACCTGGGTGCATCCCTTGACCTTTCTGCTTTAGGAGACCAGGATATTATAGAAACACTTTTTGCGGAGAACATAGGTATTGTATTCCAGGCTGATGCAAGCGCTGAAGCTATACTGAAGGCAAATGGCGTAGTTTATCATCAAATAGGAACGGTGAACGAAACTGCTCAGTTAACTGTTAAAAACGCTTCTGGTAACTGGAGCTTTGACATTGATCATTTACGTGATGTATGGTTTAAAACTTCTTACCTGCTTGATGAAAAACAAAGCGGCCCGGTTAAAGCTAAAGAACGTTTTGATAACTATAAAAACCATGTATTAAATTATAGTTTCCCTTTAAACTTCGACGGAAAAAAACCAGTTATTGACGCTGCTAAACCAAGACCTAAAGCTGCAGTTCTTCGTGAAAAAGGAAGTAACTCAGAAAGAGAATTAGCAAATGCGATGTATCTGGCTGGTTTTGATGTGAAAGATGTACACATGACTGATTTAATTTCAGGCAGAGAAACCCTGGAAGACATCCAGTTTATAGGTGCAGTTGGTGGATTCTCTAACTCAGATGTTTTAGGATCGGCTAAAGGCTGGGCAGGTGCGTTCTTATACAATGAGAAGGCAAAACAAGCGCTTACAAACTTCTTTAAACGTGAAGATACTTTATCAGTTGGTGTATGTAATGGTTGCCAGTTGTTCGTAGAACTTGGTCTGATCAATGAAGACCATGAAGAAAAACCTAAAATGTTACACAATGATAGTGCTAAACATGAGAGTATCTTTACTTCACTGACTATACAGGAAAACAATTCAGTAATGCTTTCCACTTTAGCCGGCAGTACTTTAGGGGTATGGGTTTCGCATGGTGAAGGAAAATTCCATTTGCCATATGCAGAAGATCAATACCATATCGTATCAAAATATGCTTATGAAACCTATCCGGCCAATCCTAACGGATCTGATTACAACACCGCAATGATCAGTGATCAAACAGGAAGACACCTGGTAATGATGCCGCATATTGAACGTTCATTGTTCCAATGGCATTGGGCTAACTATCCTGAAGGACGTAAAGACGAAGTTTCTCCATGGATGGAAGCTTTTGTGAATGCAAGAGAATGGATTGAAAAATTAGCGAAATAGACTATTTAAAATAACTGGAACCTGTAAATAAGCAAGTTCTTTATAATGGCCTGATGTACTATCTTTGTATAGTACATCAGGCCATATTTATATCAGGAGGTTTTATTATGAGAAAGGGTTTATTGATATTGCTGCTATTATTTACTTACCGTGTATATGCACAGGATGTAGTCTACGAAGTAAAAATCGGTACAGCAAGTAAGTATAAAAAAGATCCTACACCCAGATTAGCGATGTACCTCGCTTTTGATCTGCTTTTTCCTGACCGTTACCTGCCGCTGCAACTTTTTAAGC